TGGAAAACATTAAACGACTTGTCTAGATAGTAAGGCCCCTGCTTTACCCAATACCCTGACGAAGACACCCAAAGCAAAACCTTGGACGAGGCGGCAGGACGTGGCTACAAAGTCGGCGTGGTGGAGCCAAAGGAGGGTGTTGGGGGTTTGGCATTTGGAATATACACGAAGCAAGAGGATTTTGTTGCAGACCGGGTAGGGTTGAGGGCGTAGGGCTTACCGGGTTTTTTACATGAGCAGCGCCAGCAGCAAGATGATAACCAACAAGTATATCAGCATCAGTCGTGTCTATTGTCATGCTGAAGGCCAGCATCGCCGAGAATATTTGCAGCAGTAGCAGCAATCCAGAGCAAGATCTTCGGATCCTTACTCTGATCCCTGTTATAGTTGCAGCATCTTTGGCAGGAGTGCCTCACCGGGGCGCCTACTGGTGCTCACTCCAAATGCATGCGGGAGTCGGTCATGGAAATGAAGGCGCTGGCTGGTGCATGCTTTTTCGCGACGAGAAGAGTTCCATCTACAGAGTCGTACTTAGCAGGAAAAGCGTTCCCAGCAATATCGTGGTGACCGTTGAAAGCAATAGGACATTTATCAAACAAACTTGGAATGGCAAGAATAGTATTGTAAGTTAAGATAGATGTACTACTGTTGATGATAGAAATCCTGCATTACATTACGGTCCGTAAACTATGCGAACTATGGCACATTCCTCATTATGGGTAATGTAGCATTTTGGAATTCGGGTTGCCTTTCGAGGAAAATCCCTCTGCGCCTTGAAACCCTCAACCCTACACCCTGAATCCTCTAAGCCCCAACCCCCCACCCCTTTCCCAAAAAAGAAACCCTAAACCCTAAACCCTATACCCAAAGCCCTAAACCCAAAATCCAAAACCCTAAACCCTAAACCCTGAACCCGAAACCCCCGAAACCCTAAACCCTAAACCCTAAACCGCTCACAGGTGACATGGCCGGAAATTCGGACGATGATCTCGCGAGTGACTGCCGATGCTCAGGCCAATGCCGCAAGCCGCTGGGATTCCAAGCGCCAAGCCCTAGGGTGTGCGTTTTAGGGCTTAGGGTTTGGGGGTTGGGGTTTAGGGTTTAGGGTGTGCGTTTTAGGGTTTAGGGTTTGGGGTTTAAGGTTTGGGGCTTTAACCAAGACGCTCACCACGAATACCCTAAACCCTTGAATCCCTAAATCCTAAACCAGGACTCCTAATCCCTTCACCCTGGAGCCCGAACCCGGCTTTTCGGTTTGCTTCCTTGTAGACCCTGAGCCCTAAACCTTCCACCCAAAACGCAGGGTTCAGGGTTTGTGGTTTCTGGTTTAGGGTTTAGGGTTCTAGAGCTCCAGAGTTTTGTAGGGTTCCGGTGAGGTTTCTGGTGCACAGCAGACTCGTTTCACAACTGCGGAAAAAGCACCTCTCCGTCCGATCCCAGCTCCCACACCTGGAAGGAGAAAGTCCACGCCCTTTAGGGTTTAGGGTTTAGGGTTTAGGTCCACCCCAAAGCGTTTTTAGTTCTTGCGTCACGGCCTGCAGAGCCATTGACATCTCCCTAACCCTGAATACTACGCACAAGCCTTCAACCCTGACCTTAAATCTTTAACCCTAAACTCTGAAATCCTAAGCGAAAAACCCAAACCCTAAACCTTTATAGTAATAGTTATAATGAGGAACCCTAAGAATATAATATTGGTAAATATTTAGGCTTCTACATCAGCCCTAAACCCTAAACCTGAAACCCAAAACCCTAAACCCTTAAAAATAAACTTAAACTCCTAAACTTCAAAATCTCCAAAAAGAACGCGCCGCATCCCAGGGCTACTCCGGACTTTCCACGTCGACGTCCTCTCGGGTGCGGCTTGCTTCGTCGATCCTTGGTAGGGCTGGGTTTAGGGTTTGGGGTTTGGGGTTTAATATACCAATATTATTCCTTAGGTGCCTTATTATAATTAGACTATAAAGGAGCCCAAAACCCTATTCTAATTATTAGGGCCCCTACATCAGTTTTTTTCGTTTTGGGGTTCCGGGTTTCGCGTTTGGGGCTTCAGGTCTAGGGCTTCAGACTCGGAGGATTTAAGACGGGGAAGCACCGTCTGTGAACTTGAAACAAACCTGTGGGAGTTTTAACTCTAAGCCCTAAGCCCTAAACCCTAAACCCTACACCGTGCTTTTTCCGCTTTGGGATTTTCGTCACTTGGATTTCAGGAGTAGTGCGCGATTAAGGCGTCTGCAGCTTCAGGGTTTAGTAGGGTTTTGGGGTTTAGGGGTTTGGGGTTTTAGGGTTTAGGGTTTAGGGTTCAGGGTTTTTGGGTTTAGGGTTTAGGGCTTAGGGTCAGGGTCTGTTCGGGTGCAACGCTGTGTTGAAATTGGAGACCTGTGCTGGTGAAGGTTTTGTCTCTCACAGGGTGAGCTGGGGCCATGTAGGAGTTTCTTAGAATTAGGGGGTCTGAGAGCGCGCTTTTCAGAGACCGGTGTTACTAGGACGATTTTATTCTTCAAGGTTCATCTATTCGGGACATTAATCCTGTGAATTAGCTATGTGCGGATGTTTTTCTCTGGAATCCTTATAGACCCGACATCTGAAGCAACCCCAAGCCAAGGGCTTAGGGTTTAGGGGTTAGGGCATTGGGTTTAGGGTTTAGGGTTTAGGGCCAACCTGAACCTTCATTCAACTCCAGACGTAGGGATTAGGGTTTAGGGTTCAGCGGCTGCCCTGGTTGCCTGGCTGAGGATGGCAAAACCATCAAGCTGACGGATACCTTCGGAAACTCCTCGAACATCAAGACCCTCGTCGCCACCGGTTTAGGGTTTAGGGTTTAGGGCCCTTTGTTGCCATGTTCGGCTGCGGGTTGAGGGCAGATGAAGTTGGGGGTCTGGGGGACCTAGGCTTTGGGGCTGGGGGAGTGTGGGACCGGGTTTTGGGTCCTCAGTTAGATAAAGTAATTCTTTGAAGGACTGAGGACTCCCAAGCCATGGTTTCAAAGGTCTAGGACTTTAGTGTTCAGTGACCTCACCCCACCAAAAGCAATCCAGAGTCTGACCCAGGACGAGTGCTGTTGTCATTGCCACCGGCTCCAAGGCGAACCGATTACCGATGGCGCCTTGAATGCTTTATGAGGCACCGTCACCTCAATACGGCGTGGTGCTTGAAATCCAAACCCTAAGCCCTAAACCCAAATTGCAATCCTAAGGCTTACGCCCACTAGGCCCAGAGGCCTCACCAGGCCCTACAACCACAAGGGGTCGGACTAAATAGCAGTAATATCCCCTTGTTGTCCCAGTATGGCAAAGCAATAATAGCCCTAAGCACTAAACCCTAAACCCTTATTGTCCCAGTATGGCTAAACCATAATAGATCACCAAGGCCCTTCTCTAATTATTAAGACCCTTAAATAATACATGGTCGCCAGGTGTGACTACTTATCTCGATCCAGCCTCAAACCGTCACAGCCCTAAATCCTTGCCAAGGCTTACGCAGAGCTCTCATTCAAACAACACTCATAAGAGCCCGTTAAAACCCCTGGAATATCCGCACAATATACGGCCCCCTGATCAAAGCCTAATAGCAACCCCATCCCACCCGAAAGAGCTCTGCAGCGTTATCGAAGCCCTTTACAAAATCGTAAAGTGCTCCATCCGACCCTAAAAACCCCTTAAGCCCTTAAGCCCCGTCAAGCCCTAAGCCCTGAACCCTAAAAAAACCCTTAAGCCCTAAACCCTAAACCTTAAACCCTAAACCCTAAAGACCCCTTAAGCCCTAAACCCAGAACCCTAAACCCCAAAAACCCCTAAACCCTAAACCCTTAATCCTTAAACCCTAAGCCCTAAACCCTAAAGCCCCAAACCCTATGCAACCCTATGAAGCCCAACAAAACCCCCTAAAACCCTCAACCCCTAAACCCAACTTGAGCCCTAAACCCTAAGCCCTAAACCCTAAAGCCCCAAACCCTAACCCTAAACCCCTAAGCCCAACTTGAGCCCAGATCCCTTTCGACGTACCGGGAGTCTACGACTCGGACACCATTGGGGAGATCGACTACATCCCACGGCTGATGCTTGGCTTTTTGGGGATTTTCGGTTTTGGGTTTTTTGGGGTTTAGGGTTTAGGGCCTAAATTGCTTGGCTCAGGGGATTTTAGGTTTAGGCTTTTTGGGGTTTAGGGTTTAGGGCTTAAATTTGGGGTTTGGGGTTTTGGAGTTTACGGGCGTAGGGTTTAGGGCTAGGGCTTTGGGCTTTTGGGTTTAGGGTTTAGGGGTGAGGGTCTAAGGGTTTAGGGTTCAGGCTTTGCACTCAATGGGTCAAGTTTGAAACCTACACCCCCCGAGCCCTAAATCCTAAACCCCAAACCCTAAACCCTAAACTTTAAACCCTAAACCCTAAAACCCTGAACCCCAAACCCCAGGCCCTGAAGATCGCCAAGCCCCAACACCCCCGGGACCCGAACAACTTGGAGCCTCAAGGCACTCTGCTTCCATCGTCCCAAAGCGTGCAACGGGTTTCGGGGTCTAGGGGTTTAGGGGTTCAGGGGTTTAGGGGTTTTGGGGGTTTAGGGTTTAGGGTTTAGGGGTTTAGGGTTTAGGGTTTATCAACCCCCAAAACCGCTAAAGTCCCTACAACCTCCTAGGTATTCTTAGGGAGACCCTTTTTTCAGTATACCATCAAGCCCGAAAGCCCTAAACCCTAAACCCGAGAGCCCT